CTCTGTCTGTCCACTATCTCTTCCCTTTCAGGCCCCCATCCTACCTCATGCCCCTATCCTCCCACTGGGTCACCCCCCACTCTTCTCACCGCCCACTGGTTCCTATTCCCTCCCCCCCTCCAGGTCCTTCCAGTCTCTTCTCTCATCTCTCCCTCAGTCCTCCCAACTACTTCCTCAGTCACTTGCTCTCCTCTCCTCCCTCTAGCCCCGCCTCCTTTTCGTCAGTTTCCTCTCCCCTAAAAGCTCTCCGCCCCCCCCCTTCCAATTTCTCAGTTCAGGCTCCGCCCCTCTCCTCTCATTCGACGTTTACCCACCGCGTTCTAAGACTGTTGACAGACTTGCCGCCCCAGAATTGGTCGGAAAGACCGCCACTCGCTGTTGGGGGCGGGGTCGAAGCTATAAATGAGGACGTCTCGCCTAAGGGGTGGGGGGGCTGCAAGCTGCGGCATGCCAAGACCCGCCTCACTGGGTGTCTTCTACTCCAAGGGGCCATGTCTGGGCTCGCTCAGCCCTTACCTGCATCTCTGCCTGTCCGGAGGGAGGGGTGTCCTTGTTTCAGCACTGTTCCCCTCCGGCGACCGTTAGGCGGTAAACAAGCACTAGCCGCGATCTCCTTCGTCACGATTGGCGGCTGGGATTCGAACGTTGGGGGGAGCAGAGGGCACGAGAGACGGGGCCCCCTCGCGATGATTGGCTGTTCTGGCCGCGCGCCAGACCCAATCGTGCGACGTTATTGGCTGAGGTGCGGGAAGTACAGGCGAGCCATATCCCCGCGTTCCGATTGGCAGGTGCGGCTGCGCGCCGCACGAGTACCCGGGTCATGATTGGCTGAAGGGAAGAAGTAGCCGTAACACTGCCTGCTGCCCAGTGATTGGCTTTTGCGCTCCGGCATAGTGTGCGGGAGACCTGGCTTGCCTACGCATGCTCAGTGAAGGACGGTGAAGGATTTTTGCGGATTGTACATGCGCAGAGCGCTCATACAGCGGAAAGTGTATTACGCATGCGTCTTGTCTTGGGGTGCATGCGCAAAACGGTCGATGGGGATGTTGCGGGGGCTGTGCTGACCCTCACTCACCCGTAAGTAAGAAGGGCCCCGCCTGGCGCCCAGCCCCCTTTTAGCTGGACTTCAGACTCCAGCTCTTCGCCGGGGTTTATCAGGTTACAGGCAGGGGCCCAGCTGGGGAGAGAACCCGGCTCCTATCTCTGTCCCCCCCCATCTCTCGCCCCCCCTTCCCCTCCCAGAGCTCGGGAGTGAACCCAGGAGTCCCGGCTCCTATCCCTGCTTTCCCCCCCCCCGGTTCTAGCCCTCCCTTTCCCTCCCAGAGCTCGGGAGTGAACCCAGGAGTCCCGGCTCCTAGAACTGGGGAGAGAAGCCAGCAGTCCTGGCCTCTATCCGTGCCCCACCGCTCTAACCACCACCCCCCATTCTCCCTTTGCTCCCACAGCTGGGGAGAGAATCCAGGAATCCCAGCTCCTATTCCTTGCATGCCCATCTTGCCCCCACCCCGCTCCCAGAGCTGGGGAGAGAATGTAGGAGTCTTGGCTCCCGGGCCCCCTTCCCCTGTTCTAGCCACCACTGCACAGACTCCCTTTAAAACTGTCTGTTTTTCATGGACTTAGAACTGGGTTATAGAACTTCTCTTAAGGTCTTGATGGCTCCCCCAAAAGAGATGCCTGATGGGGGGCCAGCAGGACAATCCATCTGCAACATTGAGTCTCCTGCTTTGTCCCCTAGCTGTCAAGGCTCTGTTTGGTATCACCACTGGCTGAGAGAAAGGACTCATCTCACTTCCCATACACTGGAACCCCAGGTTGCTAACTAAACAGAGCAGGTGTTCAAACTCTTTATTCCCTTGACCTCAGATTCTACTCTGTCCCCTCCCCCACCCCCACCCCCCGGCTTCTCCACGCTTATGCTCACAACCTCAACTCTATCCTAGAATCCTTTATGCTGCTAAGAGGTGGGTCAGGTGCTTGTTAGGGTGCTGCTAGTGTGTGAGGAAGTGAAAGGAGACTTGCATGAACCACAGATTGAGAATCATTGAAACAGTTTGTGCAGGTCTGTCTTACTTAACTATTAACCCTAGTCAGTGACCTTAAGTGGATGGTACTCTTCTTAAGAAATAGATACAAGTTATTGAAAGTGGTTATTTGCATTTCAAAATAAACACTGATGTTTTGGACTAGTTCTTAGTTGCCCCAACAGACATACACACACAATGCCAACAGAGCGCTAGTTGCTTTACAGACAGATATGAAGATAAGGTGACTGTTCCAAAGATCTTCTACTAGAAAGGGGAAAAAACCCATCTCTTATGTATATGCCATAATTGCTTACCATGATGAATACTTTCCAATCTATGTTTTAAATCAGATCATGGTCCCTTGCAGACCTCTTCCTAGTTGATCCTGCCGTAAAATCATGATGCAGTGTTTCTACTACCACAATTATTTCCTTGACAACTGATAATGTAAGTACTCGATTGTGACTTCACTGCAGGATGAAGCAGAAGGAGAGGATGTGTTTTCACTAAGGACTAAATCACATAGGAAGTATTTATATTTTTTATGTATAAGGTGACCTGCAAATCAGTATGATAATGCTGATTCATTAAATAATGCTACTCACTTGTGCAGCACCTCAATAAGGCAGGTATTGCAAGTCTTAGAGATGGGTGAAATAAGCTATAGGTAAGGGACTTGTTTAAGGTCATACAGTGGGTCAGGGTAGAAGAAGGAATAGGATACAGGTATCCTAATACCCAAGTTGTCCACTACTCTTTCTAGTAGGTGACATCCTTGCATTTGGGAATATGTGCTGACTGCGCCAATTCAGAAGGCTAGCAGGAAAATATTCAGCATATTAAAGTACTGACTGTTCTTCCTAGCCTGACTGTTAAGAGCATTTTGTTAAAATTGATAAAGTTTTGTCAGATTGAGTTGCAGGATATATTTAACCAAGAGACACCAAGACATTTGACTATTTAGAAGCCTTTAATCAAAATGGAGTGATATTTCTGTGTTTTAAGTGTGTGTGGAAACTTTAATAATTAAAATCCCCAGTGTGCTATTGAATGCTATAAATAGGGTATAATAATTGCAGCGCTTTCAAACTGCACAAATCTCCTGATCTAAGGAATTCTGATAGACTTGACATTTCTAGGACTGTATTAAAAAACCCTAGGATGATACCGTTTTTATAGACTAAGATGTTTCCCCTCATTAAGCTACACTAATGATAGCAAAGTACCACCCATTCTGATTAGGACTAAGGTTGACCATGATTTCCTTTCTCTCCTGCACACACTACACCTAACAACTGTGAGATTTTTTGTTTAAAGACCCCGTTTTGTGTAAAATTAAATCCTGGTAGGTCAGTCTTGCTCTGTACATACTTGTTTTAGTCATCTTTTTATAGCTAAAGCATCAAGGAACAGTAGCAAATTCATATAAGTCTGCAAGCATTTAAGCATTCTCCAAATCTCTATTCATGTGTGATGAGTAGTTCAGACAGTTATCCTTTGTTTCAACTAAGGTTGCCTAAGCAACCAGTTATTGACAATAGTAACTGAGCTGGAGGAAAGGGAAAATTGTTACCATAACTCATTGCTGCTATGCTTTGAAGAATTAAGTGTTGCTTTATGGTTTCTGCAATAAAACATTGCATTCCCATCTTTTAGTTTTTAGTGCCACCAAGTGGCCAGTTTGACTTGCTCATTAAAACCACTCAAAACTATTTCCATTTTCCCCCCTTTCTCATAGCAGTGTAGATTTATTGCTAGTTGAATGTTAACATTTTTCATCAACTGTGTTCAGGACCTACAGTTCACATATTCAAGTAGTCATTCTTTTGAGCCAAATACGTAAATATTTCAAGCAAAACAAAGACATTTATTATCTTAACGTAGAGCCCAAGGAACAATGCTTTTTGATAGCACTAGAAATCTGAAGTCATGTGTGGTTGCAGTGCAAGCTTCCCTGCACTTTCGGGCCTAGAAGGATCGAAACCCGGACCAGGAGGGATCATCTCTAGGGGTCAGGCGTTCTGTCTTCGTAGCCCATTTGCTCCTTCACCTGCTGTATTAAATTGTCAGTGTCCATTTTGATGTGGAAACAAACAGTTGTGAAGGGAAAAATGAAAACGGATGAGGAGTGGGCATGAAAATCACTAAGGAAATCACAAAGGTTTGATGACAGGAGCAACTTATGGCAAACAGCAGAGCACAAAAGATTCTTAATTTGAAATCAAGTAGATCATGTTAAAACAAGATATTTTCTATTTCAGGTTCCAGTCAAGAGGAAATTTTGTTTCCATTTCTTTATGAATGCTTCAAGTTTGTTTCATTCCACCATCTTACTAACCAAAATAAATACATTGTCTTGGAGGCCATGGCTTTGGAGGCAGCAGAAGTTTTTATCCCCCCGACTGGCTGTACCTTTATTCCCCGTAGCAGGAAAGAAGAATTCTTGTGATCTTCTTGCACTAAGTGAAACAGACTTAAAAGAACAGTTTGTAAGAGGTGATGGCCCAGGAGGTCAAGCAACTAATAAGACAAGCAATTGCGTGGTCCTGAAGCATATTCCATCTGGGATCGTAGTCAAGGTAATTCATTTATTTGGTTCCATTAAATAATTGAAACTAGCGTAATTATATTGTGTTATTTTGACAAATAAAATATGCAGAATTTTAAAATACTGTGTGCAGAATTTTTAATTTTTGGTGCAGAATTCCCCCAGGAATATAATATAATATAATAGAATTAGAATTTAAAGAGCTAAATGATAGCATTTGTGTTACTTTGTCCCAGATTTTTTTTTTAAGGCAATCCTTTCATACCATTCATAAGAAAAGTAAGCAGCATCAAATTTGCATTCAAATGTTACATCCAGTTAAAGGGCTCCTGAAATTTTCCTCTTCAATGGCTCCTATAATCTAAAGAACTCCAATGTACTTTCTAAACTGTAAGCTTTCCAACGTGCTATGCTGTACGGAAATTTCTCCATTTTACAAATGGTGAAATGGAGGGACAAAGCTTAAGTGATTTTTCCAGGGTCCTAGAGCAGGGAACAAAAATCAGGATTCCTGGCTCTCCCTTCCCTGTTACAAATGCTAGATGAGACTACAGATCCAATAAGCTTGGTACAAACTGAGCATACCTATTGCTCCTCAAATTATTCACGAGTAAGAATAATTTATTAACTAGGGGCTGGCCATTTATCCTTATGAGACAAATTTTTGCTCACTAGCTATAACTTAATGTCTTCCTTTTACTCAGTATAATTTAAATTCAGAAGTAACTTCAAAGGAATGGAGGGGCAATCTTCAAGTCTACCAGTGAGAGGATTAAGACAAAAATCAATAGGCAAACTACAAGAACCCTTAAACAATAAATGCTACCTCAAAACATTAACATCACATCATCTGGTGGCTGCCAAAAATGGTTTGCTCTTTACTGCTGTAGCAGAAAGGGAGAGGCTAGCTCATTTAAAGTGGATTTTTTTTTGAGCCACTAATTTAATTAATACACTTCATAATTGTTCTAATCATCTCTTGAATGTTACTACATAAAGAGAACGCTTTTCCTTTAGAAACTGTCATGACACAAATGTGGCTTCTTATTTCCTTGTGCAATTTCCCTTACTAGTCTGAAATTAAATAGCTCTTATCAGAGTTGCTTTTTTTCCCTTCAGCCAGTACATAAATAAAATCACATTACAGGCCAAGTATTCCACTCCTTACTCAAACAGTTTTAAATTTTAGGATTAATTTATATTGAGGATTTTACAGGATGAGGCTCTACAGTAGTACAACCTGTTTAGTAAAAGGAAAAATATGTATATGTAGAATGAACAGAATTAATTTACAATACATTTTTTTTTCAGTGTCATCAAACTAGATCAGTGGAGCTGAACCGACAGAGAGCCAGAGCAATCCTGCAGCAAAAAGTTGACCTCTTTTACAAAGGTGAAAATAGTACCATTTTTAAAGAGAAAAGAGCAGCTGAGAAGAAAAAGCAAGAAAAGAAAAAAAGAGCAAAGGAGACTCTAGAAAAGAAAAGGCATATTAAAGAAATGCAAGAATCAGATGCCAAATAAGTGTGAGAGAAATTATCGATTTGGCTTGTCAGGAAAAGAGAAGACTGTTTGTCACTACCCTTGAAACATGTGTTAGAAGTTTTCTGGCTTAATACTGTTATAAGACTTCATAATAAATACTATTAAAATGTTGAGTTTAGTGACCTGCTATTAGTGCAAGGCTAGAGTATTTAGCCCAACGTTAATAGCAGTCCTATATTTCATCTTCTACTGTGGACATCCCAGTACACTCAGATTCAATATAATCAGTTCATTTGTGCCAAGTTTAGGACAGGTGTGATAAGAAAACAAGATCCATAAGACCTTAATTAAATAGATGTTATAGGAAAACTCCATCCAATATAGTTAATGGAGGGGGGGGGGGGAATAAGAAACTCAAGCACTAAAGCATTAGAGATTTTCTAAATCTTCTCACAGTGAGGGGAGAATATTCTCAGCTGATTAAGTCACAAAGATGAGGACTTCTCCTGAAACAGTCGCTTATGCTATAGTCCCTACTCAAGCAACTTTTTCATTTAAATCAGAATCCCCTTTATAAATTACAGTAGACAGATTGGATGAGCTATTAAAAAAAAAAAACCTTGTTTCTAGTAGGGTTGTCAATTAATTGCAGTTAATGCAAGTGATTAATGCAAAACAATTAATATGATTTTTTAACGAGTTAATCACACAGCTTTGTTTTGACCATCTTCACTTACTGTACTACATTACTTGGTGGACATTGGCACAGTTCTGTGTTTTCATGATCTAGAGTGATTAAATATCAGAAAAAGTTAATGGAGCAAAGCAGCAAAAGTTTAGGTCTTTTGAATGGGAAGTTTATTTTTAAGAAACTTCTGGATGGTTCTCTGGATAAAAAGACGGTTATCTGTAGCTATTGCAAGGCTGAGTTCCAGTACCATCGAAGGACTTTGTCTGCAGTACACATGTGCGCTAAACATGCTTTCGCCTCCAGTTCTTGTGCTACAGATAACCCATTGACAGCAAATGATTCCTGCCAGCCACGACAGAGTAGGCTTACAGAGTTTCAGGATTGCTACAAGCCCATGGACCAAACAAAGTACAACAGTTTAACCAATGATATTGCAAAGTGGATAGCTATGGACTGCAGACCACTCAACATTGTAAACGACAGAGGTTTAAGAGGTGTTATTCAAATTGCATCTTCCAATCAGTGATCTACCTTGCTCTCCCAAGAGCCCATTGCATCACGAATACTTAGTCTATATCATAAGACTACAAAGTTGGAGCTTTGTTCAGCACTCAACCCAAGGTTGAAGAATCTGAAGTGCTTTCCAAAATCTGAGAGGGAAGAGGTGTGGAAGATGCTGTCAGAAGTCTTAAAGGTGCAATACTCTGATGCAGAAACTACAGAACCCAAACCACCAAAAAAACAAAAACAACTTTTTGTTGGTGCCATCTATCTCAGATGATGAAAATGAAGGTGTCAGTCTGCACTGCTTTGGATCATTATTGAGCAGAATCCATCAGCATGGAAGCATGTCCTCTGGAATGGTGGTCAAAGCATGAAGGAGCATACAAATGTTTAGCATATCTGGCATGTAAATACCTTGCAACACTGGCTACAACAGTGCCTTGCGAATGCCTGTTCTCACTTTCAGGTGAAATTCTAGTAAGAAGGGGGCAGTATTATCTTCCATAAATGTAAACAAACTCATTTGTCTTAGTAATTGGCTGAACAAGAAGTAGGACTGAGTGGACTTGAAGGCTCTAAAATTTTTACGTTGTTTTGTTTTTGAGTGCATGTAAAAAAAAAAATTCTACATTTGTAAGTTGCACTTTCACAATAAAGAGATTGCATTACAGTACTTGTAGAAGGTGAATTGAAAATACTATTTTGTTTTTTACAGTGCAAATATTTGTAATCAAAAATATAAAGTGAACACTGTACACTTTGTAGTCTGTGTTGTAATTGAAATCACTGTATTTGAAATTGTAGAAAAACATCCAAAATATTTTTAATAAATTTAAATTTATATTCTGTTATTTAACAGTGCGATTAAAACACTTTTTTAAATCATTTGACAGCCCTAGTTTTTAGACATTACATCTTAGTCATCACATCTTTCTTCAACTGACAATCAGACAAAGATGTGGAGGATACTGTAGGTTAAAAGCAACTTCGGTGAGTTCACTCATCTGAACCATTATGCAAAGTATCCCTTTCCCAAAACTATTATCCCCTAACATCCATAGTTTGCACTGATAAGTATCCCTTTCTTTGGGTTTCATTGTCCAGTTTCAGTAGTCAGTTTTACTTAGTTTACCTTGCAGAATTTTGATGCGACTGAATGCCAGCGTTATGCCATTGTCTTTACTATATCATATTACACTTGAATAGTTTCACCTCAGAAAGGGTCTTTATTCTGTTTTTAAAATTTCCTCCGATTTATTTGAATAGGGAGCATCTACTCCATTTTATTAAAGATGTTGATTTAAAATCACAAGGAAAAGAGGTGATCTTCCATCTTAATGGGGTGGTGGTGGTGTTTTTTGTTGTTTTGTTTGTTTTTACAAGGTATCAAATCACATCCCTAGAACTTTACAGTATCTTTCATTCTTACACATACCCCACACTTCGCTTTTTATAAGTAGTAATGGAGCTGGCAAGCAGCCTTACCTGCTTCCTGCAGAGATTAACTGCATCAGGCCAGGGCTATGGCTGGAACATCTCCAGCAGTCTACAGCACTGTTCCCTAGTCTGTTCCTGGACTTGAGGCTCCTGCATGAAGGTTAAACATTGGCCTATCTACTGAGTTCTTTTGCACTTTTAACATAAGGTTGATTAAAGTGACTGTACATACAGTTTTAATACAAATTGTTAATGAAAATAAGCTTTATTACATCAAGTAATAAATACATACAAAGATGCAAATAACAGTTTTAGTAATTTATCCAGAATTTTGTTTTTTTGGCAAACTTACAATTGAAATCTTCAGCCTTAGGGTGAAAATTAGTTTTCTGGGACCTTGTTATTGTTTGTTAGGTTGCTCTATCTTCTGTATTTATAACTCATGCACTTTAAATGGACTCCAAAGCACTAACAATCATGCAAATGCTTATGCAAAAAAAGGGTTATTTCTAAGCAGGGTCTATGCTGTATGGCAAACTGTGAGTATAGCCGACTACTAGGTAAAACATGCTACCAGTGCAGTTATTAAAAAAAAAAAAATCCTTAGAGCTTATGTCAAAGGTTGAAAGATTGACCATGTGGGGTTAAGCGAATATAGTCAAAGAAATAAAAAGAATGAGACTGTGGCTGGATAAGAAAGGAACTTAAGTATAGTCTGTGGGAGAGAAAGCATTCCTCTGCATGCAGTTTTAGTCTTAACCTTTTAGAAAGAATTTGGGGCGTTTAACATCTTAAAAAAAAATGCAAACCCTCAGTAAATTGAAAAATCTTCTCATTCTTAACTGTACATTTTCATAAGGGCAAAAAAGGGTAAAAATCAAAATAAAAAGATTCATCTGCATGTTTCAAAAGGAATAAGTATTACATTTTTCTTCATAAAGAGATGGAAAGTCTTGTAATTTAATTAGTAGGCTAGGATCTTGCATTCCGTTCAGTCTCAGCCAAGCATTCCCGAACTAATCCTCTAGCATGAATGATGCCTGCAAAAGAACGGTAGATTTTTTGAAAGCATCCGGTTAGGTGACAGTTGAAATTCAAAAAAGTGGTTTAATGTTTCTGTCCTAAAATAGCTTGCCAGGGTGCTGCGATGTACCATAACTAAGGCAGCAGCAGCAGCATCCCCCAGCGTCCCAACTGCAGTTAAAGCAAGTGAGTTTGGTTCTCCTAACTGGCATCTTTTCACAGATCAATGCCAGAAAGGACCATTGTGTTAAACTTCAGTTAAAAATCTGTCCTGACCAAAACCCTGAATCCAGGCACCTGTGAACTTAAGTTCCACATTCAGCGATGGATCTAAACTTTGCAGCTCAGGCCTATTTTAAACTGCAAATCTTAATTTAAAAAAAAAAAACTTGCATAATTGTAATTTGAAAATCTGCTAAAAATAACCTAATAAAAAAGCGTGATCTGTCCATTGAGTAACTTTCTCTTCGAGAGGGTGTCTCTCAACTCAGAGCCATAATGGTCACCTTGAAAGTCGAAGTCTAAGCTCTGCCAGTGTTAACAACGCAGAGTGCTAGCATAGCTAGGCCATCATTTTAAGCACCATGTTGTCTAACCTTGCTCAGGTCTAGTTGACATGAACTAGAATTTTCAAAAGCAGCTTAAGTCCCAGCCTTGGTTCTTAAAACATTAGTGGCAGATCTAGACTAGTGCTATCAAAGTTCACAGCAGTGGAGTCTGAGCTTGTGTTTGGTCCAAGGGAGATTTTGGCATGACTTGCCCAGTGCAGACAGGGCTACACTCTGGCACCAAGGTTTCAGGGCAAGAGAGAATAGTTTGGTTTCTGCTCCGAGCTCACCACTACTGCTCCTTAACTGGGTGGAGGAGCTGCTGTTGAGCGGCAGGAGATGCTTAGCCTCATCAAACTCAAAGTACATTGCCTCTGAAGAACTGCCAGCCCGGAAGCTTCAAGGTCACAGAGCAACAGCCAGTGATTGCACCCAGAGAAATAATTGCTCATTCAATAGTTACACTAGAAAATTTAGGGATACAAGGATTTTCAAAGGGTTAAATATATATATATATGCACACTAGGAAATTGGTGCCTGTACCTATAGTTTGCACAGAGATGGACTCAAAGCAGCACATTAGACTTTATGTGGCAAGGTGCCCTGTTTATGCAGCAAAGCTACCCTGAATTAGGTAGAAAACTGAGACAGTTAATTGGTTTCAAAGCCTGATAGCTTGTGTGGTTTTTAAGCTGGTGGAGCACGAAACAGAAATCTCCTGCAGGAGGAATGCTCCATATAGCAGATACCTTCCTGCTCCCATGTGGGACACCTGCAAGATTCCCCCAGACCTGTCCCATCATACTACTGTATGCTCCCTACACACACACTTAATTCCTCCTCCTAGGAACCTCCTCCGCTATTGAGTGGGCAAGTTTTTGAGTCAGAAGATGTCAGAAAAATTGGCTGATATCCATGATGCCTATATAAATACATACTCACTGTAATGTAGGAAAGCACAACTTTAATCTAGCAACTGTTCAGCAAGCAATTGTTCATGCTGACAGTCTGAACTTTTCCAGGTCTCTGCTACGTCCTTCTCATTAGCCTATTGCCATTCTTGATCTATTTTGACACTGACTCAGCCAGTGCAATAAAGAGACTCCTGCAACACTGATTTTAGTCAGCCCAGATTCCACTTTACCACTCTTATCAGCAGACTTTATCACATCCCTTCCAAGAACAGCTACTATTCGTTTTATTGCACATGGTGGCAGAAATATTACTCTCCCCTTAATAGCTGGGCCTTAAGTACAGCTGGCTTAATGCCACCTTTGCACCACCCAGCTGCTGGGCTAATCCGTGACCATTTTAGCCTCTGGCACAGGATAGAGCAGCTTGGGGAACTCCCTTGCACCCAACTGCCCATGGCCCTTATGGGTCACTTCAGCAGCACTTCAGGAATGTCCTTGACATGCCTCCTGCACAGGATGGTGTGGAGCTGGCTACACCAGCTGTAGGGCATGCAGTGATTTCCCCAACCAAGAGGAAAGGATACTTACCATCCTCTTTTGCTGGCCAAAAGGAACTGTGGACCACAGATAAACTGGGCCCTTAGACTCTAGTAGCCTCAGGCTCCCTTAGATCTATTTACATCTGCTTATTGAT